GCTGAAGCTGAAGCTGAACTGAAGCTGAAGCTGAAGCTGAACTGAAGCTGAAGCTGAACTGAAGCTGAACTGAAGCTGAAGCTGAAACATACCCAGAGTGAGGAAGGACTTCTCCATGTCGCCCTTCACCTCCTTCCTGATGCTCTCCTTCATGTCGTACGGACTGTAGCTCTTATAGCGCTCAAACACTGAAACACAGAACAGGAAGAAAACCTCAGGCTGAAACAAGCTTCTACAGACAAACGCTCACATGGACCGAGCAGAACAGTGTTATCTAGATACGCCACTGGCCATTCCCTGAACATAGATTAGAAATGTAGATCTGCATCATCAGGTGTTGGCAGCAGGGTAAAGATGATCCTCCTCACCTTTCTGCAGGTGAGGGATGCTCCTCTGGGACATAATGGAGATCCAGGTGGTCACGTCTGTCCCCTTCCTCTTCACGCCGGCTTCATACAGAGCCTGAGCAGAAAGCATAGAAATACAGAAACAGAAGTTCACATTTAGCGGCTCAGAACCGGACTCTGATAAACATGGAGGGTCCAAATAAAACCAAACAGGTCAAAACAGACTCTGAGACAGAAGGTTAAAGTTAGACATGACAAATGATGCTTTTAAACATTAAAATTATAGTAGAAATAATAACATTAAAACTAGTAATATTAATTATAATCAGACTAGTATTAATAATAATAAAACTGTAATAATAAAATGAATCGTCATAGTAAGTGTTGCTGACCTTGGCGTCATCGTCGATCTTCTGGTAGTCCACCACGCTGCTCGGATCGTCTCTTTTGGTCTGTGGATCGAGAAATAAAGAATAAAGAATCAGAAGTTCTCGGTTCTGTCGGTGCTTCGCAGAAACACGACCCGTTTAGAAAAATAACCCCACAGGAAGACTGACAATAACGATACCAATCAGGGATTTCTACCAAGTCTGATCCTCTCATTTCTTTTCTCTTCCTGTCATCTTTGCTTTTACTGATTTTAGGAAATTCTAACCTATTTTTATTCCCTAATGTAAAAGCAAATAACTGAGGAACTGTTAGCCCAAATTACATGTTTTATACATGATTTGAAAGCAAACACCTTCTAGTTTCTGAATATATAAATGAAACTTGGGTGAGTAAAGCACAGCCAAAGCTGCAGCAGTTTTATTTAGAAAATAATGGTCTTTTTTTAACAGGACTAATAAAAACATTCTGCTTATAGCAGCAAACTTTATTCTCCGTCGACCTTTAGTCTTGATCATATATAATGTTTTATAGTCGGACACCTGATATTTACCTTGTTTCTT